CGAAAAATCCCTCCCACTGATTGTATAATTACGTATTATGTTAATGACCCCTCAGCTCGTGTTCAAGCACTTTCTTGCAGTTGTAGACAATTCACTGGTCCGTATTGCCGAATTTAAGTTACACAAAAGCCAGCGGATTGCTAGCGGAAGCAAGCGGGTGCCTAACGGAAATGCGCTAAAATGCAGCATTTACAATTTATACCTAGCTGCTAGCGAATGGCTAGCGGACGCTGCGCGCAAACTAGCGGAGAATAGTATATACTAGCTTCCGTAAGACATTTGACGGATGTTATTCGTCTAAATTTCTTCGAAGTCAGAAGTAGCGCGCGCCGCTTTCTTCTCGATGGCAAGTGCTACGAAGTATCGCGCGCCGGGCCTGATAATTAACAATGGTCAATAAGACATCCGCTAGTTTCCACTAGCTATCCGATATTGCCGCTAGGTCCGCTAGTTTTTGTGTAACTTAAATTTTATCTTCGAAATCGGCTATATACTTACCCAGAACTTACTTTGCTAGTGTGCAAATGACGAGACAGCATTGTCCACGAGACAACATTGTCCACTTGTGAAATCACTCAACAGATGGCGGAGCTGGAGAAGGGGAAAATGTCCTCAGTAGATCATGAGGACAGATCAGGGCTACATAATGCATCATCCAATGACGATGTAGATACTGTAGAAGATTCTCAGCCTGGACCGTCAACAAGCATGAACATCGAAGAATCGATAATGCCGCCAAGACTTGAGGTAAATATTAAGTTTGCATGAGGTTTGGCGAGTTCTTGCTCGAAACTTCACCTATTGATATTTTTCTCAAACACAATAAGCTTCAGTTTACAAAAAGGCTGTTAAATGGAAGTTCCTCTACCGCAATAATTTGAGATCATGACATACATTATCCAAAACGGATGTCATGACTTGGCACTTGCGCTTCTTCATTTTATTGCTGAAGGTCAGAGTTGTAATGTCTATTGCGATTCAATTTATATTTGTTGTAACATATGTATTCACTGAAAAAGAGAGAACTCCATTTGGCGAGATGTAGTGTGAGGTTCTTGTAATTGTACTTATTCAATGAAACCAGGTAATGAATGAGGAACAACTTACAATGAACTGTATTACATAGAATAACCTAAAGGGGGATGTCGTTAGATAACAGCATATAAAATAGGCTGACAGTAGGACGCTCCTGGTCATCAAAAGCTTGACTTACAGTATACCTTACTCGGGAATATTATAGCGGGTTAATTTATGACTGGGAAAATTAATGACCGGGAAAAATATGGCGGACTTTCCCAAAACCCGCCAAATTATCCCGGTCATGTATTTACCGGTGGCCGACCTTTCAAGTTTTTTTTTCAGAGGTCAACAAATTTTCAACCGAAATTTCTGTTTTTTGTTACTTGTTAAAGAAGTTATTTCAATTTACAGTTATTGATATTACTCAGAAATAGAATCTAGATTCCTCTAGATATACGTGAGATAGAGACTATTTCTGAGTTCAAAAGCAAATTGACCTCCTACATGTGGGATAAAATTATGCCGGAGGACTTTGATTATGATCTAGATTTTTCCCTCGAGACAGAGATGTGAAGCAGTTTACCTAAAGCTAACAATATGAATCCCTGTTGTCTGTATTTCTCATTTCTCATTTTAGTGCATGTCATCACATCATGGATTTCACTTTATTATATGATTTGATTGCTTTTGATATTTTTGTGTGTTTCTATTTGAAATTCTATTTAAAATTTAAGATTTTCGTGGGCCCATACTTGTGCAGGAGGTGCATTTTGCTCTCAACATCTGTGTTTTGGTGACCCTCAGGTCCTTTGATTACATACATTTTGTCCTAGAAAATCTGATTTTATCGGAGTCTTATACTTTTGAGAAAATTTAATGTTGTTCATTCATTGTGTAAATTTGTATGTAATTGATCGATTTGAAAGATTTCAATAAAAAAAAAAAAAAGAAAAAAAAGACACGTCTATTTAAAGGAAAATAAATCTAAGCAATAATAAGTCAAATCTTCATTAAAGCGTATTCTCATTATCGCTAATGTTCCCGCCATTATCATTATTGATATCCCCCTGAGCTGCTGACCGTCAAATTCGAAGTTGTATCGTTGTCTTAACAAGACTTTCATTTTGTCTGCTAATGGGGCTACTGCTCTGAAGGTCAGCCGGAGCTTAATTTCCTGCCCACCGCTTGGTATTGGGGAACGTCTTGGCTTTGCATCTTCAACTGCTCCAGTAATCAATCCACCGTGGACCATGAAATAGTGGCACAGTTTACTCACTTCTAGCGGGATGTGGCCACAAGTTACTTTAACGGGGAAAACTCCCTCTTTCTTTAGTCTACACACTGCACACGAGAAGCGATCAATCTTTAGAGACATTATTATTATAATATATATTATATATTATTATTATTTTCGTTTTTTTCTATACCATATAAATTGTTTTCTTCTCTACGATTCACTGATTCATCACGGTCCACCCTGAAATCTGATTTCTATAACCAAATTGTGATTTTTATAACGAAATTATGGTAACAATAATAATTCTTAAAGAATTTTTAATATTTTATGATTTTTCATCCTTATTATCTTGTATATCATTTTGTTAGTCTGATGAGTCTCATACATAGATTTCTTGTGGTCATCATCTACGTTTTGTTAGAAAACCTGCTAACCTTTTTTGGATATCTTCTTGTTAGGTGTATCTGCCTTATTTAGTCAGGATTTTACTTGCAGCTATAAACTTCCGTTTTTACTCCTGTCCAAGGCGAGATGCACGATCTCTACTGTCATTTAGGTATCATTTACAGCTGAGCATAAGGGTTAAATTCAAATTATTTAACCTTTTGGTGCTGTATAAAAATAACATTAATTTATTATTATTATAAAGGGTCTCAATAAGAGGTCTCGACTGCCTAGGCGTCAAACCTTGGCAGTCGGTAGTTTTCCTCTGGCCCGGGATCAGCTGACCCTAGGGACCAGAGGGTAAAGGTGTAGAGACTATGTGTATCTACAAATTATTATTATTATAAAGGGTCTCAATAAGAGGTCTCGACTGCCTAGGCGTCAAACCTTGGCAGTCGGTAGTTTTCCTCTGGCCCGGGATCAGCTGACCCTAGGGACCAGAGGGTAAAGGTGTAGAGACTATGTGTATCTACAAATCTTTCGAGGTTGTTTTTACAAGAGACAGGGCTTGCTACGCAAGGGAAGAAAACCGGGAGAAACAATCACAAATTATACAAATAAATATTATAAAACCTAGCAAAAAGAAATTAAAACAATCCTACACTACTACAAATGTTTATTACATACTACAATGTAATACACGATAAATAAATGCTGTATTATCAAGAAAAAGGGCTTGCAGGGCAAGGGACGGAACACAGGGACTGGATCGACTGGCTACAGAGTGTATAAAACAGTGATTCAGCAAGTACCCATTGGGTATTGCTGAATCTGACCCACAAAATACCACAATCAATACAAGAATATACAATATTTAAACAAACATCATGTTTATACAAGAATCAGGGCTTGCAGAGCAAGAGAAGAAGAATAAGAGAAAAACTCCAACACATGTATACCCCTTAGTCCAGTAAATAACAATAATTACTTGTACACAAAACTGTATTTAATATAAAATACATAACAAATACACAGTCTACCCAATATACGGGTTAAAAATTGTATAAACAAGAGACAGGGCTTGCATAGCAAGGGAAGAGATATAAGAGGACCAGGTAAAAAGTGTTTATTACAGTATCCAGTGAAGAATAAACTAAATATAGAATATCTACAGTGTATTATACTCTCAATAATATCATATGTCTAAGACCATCCTGAGAATTCTGGCTGATCCAAGCAGAGCTGTCTTCTGGAGATTAGAGATGCTCAGATTGCAGTGGACTGCGTCGAGGTGTTTACAAAAGTTAATGGTGATAGTTCCTAATGCGCCTATCACCACAGGGACGATTGTGACCTTTCGTAAATTCCAGTTCTTCTTAATTTCTCTTTTTAGGTCTTGATATTTCAGTATCTTTTCTTGTTCTCTATCCAGGATCCGGGTATCTCCTGGGACTGCAACGTCAATGATAGTTGCTGCGTTGGTTACCTTGTCTACCAGGAGGAGATCCGGTCTGCAGTGTTCGATAACGTGGTCCGACTGGACATGGAAGTCCCACAATATCTTGACTTTTTCGTTCTCCAGCACCTTCTCTGCCCGGTGTTCGTACCACCTTTTACTGCGTGGGAAGCCGTATTCCTTGCACAGACTCCAGTGCAATGCGGCAGCTACTTTGTCATGCCGACACTTATATTCTGTCTGTGAAAGTTTTGGGCACCCATTCAGTATGTGGTCTATTGTCTCGTAATGATTTCTGCAGAGTCTGCAGAGGGGAGAAGAGCCAGGTGTTTTGTCAATCCTGTGCTTCACATAATTCGTCCTAAGTGCTTGGTCTTGGGCTGCTATCAACAATCCTTCTGTCTCCTTCTTCAAGTCTTGTTGAGTGAGCCAGTTCCAAGAGGTTAACGGGTCCGCTATACCCATCATCTGCCTTGGGAACTGTCCGTGCATCACTTTAGCAGTCCACTTCTCCTTGCGGATTTCCTCGCGTTGTGTTCGGTCGATATCTTTCTCTATCTCTTCACCCAAGAGTATCTTGTCTTTGACAAAGTAGTCCTTCAGAGCAATCAGTTCTGGGTCTCTACTTCTCACCACATAAGTGGTGAGTGCATTCTCCTCTCTCTTTACGACTTCCTCTATACTATGTAGCCCACGGCCACCCAGTTGACGGCTTACGTATAACCGATCAACATCTCCTTGGGGGTGGTGAGCTCCATTAATCCTCATCAGTTTCCGGGTCTTGACATCTAAGGCTTTGGTCTCTCCTGCATTCCATGAGAGAATTCCAGCTCCATATCTTATCACAGGTACAGCCCAGGTGTTAATTGCTTGTATACTATTCCTGCCATGAAGCTGGGATTTTCAAACCTTTTTAACTCTTCTGATATACTCTTTTGTAACCAGTGCTTTCATCTCTTTGTGCAGTATATTATTGGCTTCTAGTATTCCCAGATACTTATAGCCCTCGTCCTCCAACTCATGGATCTGTTCACCTGTGGGTAGGGAGATGCCTTCGAAAACGGCTCTTGCTCCCTTCTTCACCTTCACCACGGCACATTTCTCTAGCCCGAATTCCATTTTTATGTCACTGCTGAACTCTGCTGTGGTATTAACCAGTGTTTGCATTTCGTCTTCACTCTCGGCATACAACTTGAGGTCGTCCATGTATAGCCTATGTGACACTTTCGGTCGACCTCCCTTCTCCAGAGAGTATCCTATGTCATGCTTATTCAAAAGAATGGACAGGGGTATAAGACTCATGATAAAGTGAATAGGTGATCTACTGAGTCTCCTTGGAATAGACCTCTATTAATTTTAATTCTCCCAAGGGAAACTTTACCAAGCATCAGGTTAACATACGATTGCTTGAAGGAGGCTTCAAAAAGATCTATGATGGATGAAGAGATATCACACATGGTCAAACAAGACAGAATCCAAGAGTGTGGGACGCTATCATACGCCTTCTTGTAGTCTATAAACGTCATGTTCAGGTTCCGCTTCCTTCGTTTACAGTTCTTCAGAATGAGTTTGTCTATCATTAACTGTTCTTTACATCCTCTGCTCTTCTTCTTGCACCCTTTCTGCTCAGGGGGGAGGAGTTTTTGCTGGTCTAAATGGTTGTATATGGAATCTGAGATTAGACCAGTGAACAGTTTCCACATAGCTGATAAGCATGTAATAGGTCTGAAATTGCCTGGGATGGGTCCTTTGGAGTGGTCCTTTATGAGCAGGTACGTGCGTCCCAATGTCATCCAGTCAGGGATATCAGCGTTGGTTAGGCAATTCATAAGTAGATCTGCAATCCTATTGTGGAGTTCTTTAAAGTGCTTTATCCAATAAGCATGCAGTCCGTCTGTACCAGGAGAGGACCAATTGGTCATTTTCTTCACTCTATCTGCAACCAGGGTGTTAGTTATAACAAACTGTCGCTGTTCATCTGCTGAGGCTAGTGCTGTTCTGACATCCGGTAACCATTCAGCATCACTGTTATGTTCAACCGGCTGCTCCCATATGTTCTTCCAGAACTTCAAACAAGAATCCTTGTCAGCCTCAGGGTGGGAGATATCCTGTTCTTCAGGGTTTGTTTGAAGGTTTCTGTAGAACTGCCTCTGGTTGTTTCCAAACAACTTGTTCTGGTGGTATCGTTCGCATCTTTTATTAAATCTCTTTATCTTAGCTGCTTTTGCACGTAGACGTTGCTTGAGCTCCTCAATGATGCATGATATACCCTTTTTCTTCAACAGGGGGTGACGTCTGTTGAGCCCTTCTAGTATTTTTTGTTTAAGGGTAATACCTTTCTTCTTCTCCTCAAGATAAGAGATGTCTTTCCTCACCTGGGTAATCTTATCTTCGATTCTTCTTTTCCATAGCGGAGTTTTCCGCTTCTCTGCATTCTTATTTGCAGGTTTTTCACCAAGTCTTTCGCTGACTAAATGTGCTCCTGCAAGCAATAGAGTGTTGGTTTCAGTGATTGAAGAAGTAGGAATCTCTGCTATACATGAGTTGATGAGAGATGTTTCCTCCAGCTCCATAAGCTTCTTTCTGTTCACATGTCTCAGGGGCTTGGTTTCTATCACTGAAGGGTCTTCTAAGAGGGTTTTTAGCCGCTCAATGATTGCCTCCTTGTCAAAATCAGGTACCGTTGCGGTGGGGGTGAGTTCTTCGGCGGCAACAGTTGGGATAGTTGCATCCCTCAACGTCCTGATTGCTTGGGAGACTGTGGGTAGAGCTTGAGTTGTCGTTGTTGGAGCCTCTTCCACTACGCTAGGTGGAAGAGTACCTCGAATCTCCAATAGTTCTATGTCTGAGAGGAGATTATTATTTCTGATTGACCTTGCTTGGTCTGCCAATCTTTGTTCTGTACAAGTGAAGAGTCCGGCATCATCCCACAGTGGGGGGGGTGCCACTGTCCATTTTGTCCCTGCACAAAAAAAACTGAAAAAAGACAAAGACAAAAGGGACAAAATGGACAAAAGGGACAAAATGGACAAAAAAAGATAAAAGGGACAAAAAAGACAAAAAAGACAAAAAAAGGCGGGGACAAAATGGACAAAATGGACAAAAAGGACAAATACAAACGAGTTGACGGATGTTACTCGTCTAAATTTCTTCGAAGTAGCGCGCGCCGATTTCTTCTCGAAACGGCAAGTGCTACGAAGTAGCGCGCGCCGGGCCAGACCATTAACAATGGTCAACAAACGAGACAAATTGACATAACAGGGACAAAATGGACAGTAAAGAGAAGTCGCTGATTTCCGATAGGGTACAGGGTGTCGATTCTTTATGCTTCTTGTGTCTGAGGAAGCGTTCCTTCTTGTTCCACAGTTGTTTACATTTAGCTTCTTTTGTCGTACTCAAAAAGTTTCGCGGTTGCGAATGCCGGCCCATCGAGGAAAATCTTTTTACTTGGTTTTTTAACCATTAGAAAGTATGATTAGTCGGATATAGTACTGAGTTCAAACAGTTCCCGAAACGAAAAAGCAAACGTTTGATTTTTGTTTCGGCGACTAAATTGTCGATGGGCCGGCAAATATTTGTTGTCGAGTAGTGTTGAATACTCATATTAACATGATTATTGATTTAATTTAGGAACTGTATATAAATATGTTTGACCAAGTTTAATTGTTAATGAAAATGAACCCCAGCACTGGGCGCGCGCCGCGGCTTTGATGTTAGCGGCTACAAGCTAGGCAGCTGCAGAAAAATGCCGCGCGCGTTCAGAGTACGGTTGTATCACGCGGTGACCCCCACTGCCGCTTCACTATAGTGGCGTCTGTAGCGTCTTCGACGCTACAGGGGGAGCCGCGCACTTCGTGCGCGGCGGGTCATACAACGTATGACAAGAGTACGGCGTTTCGGTTTTTGATTTTACAAATGACGAAGCAACTTTTAATGATTATTAATGGAATTATCGGATATTTATAATTCAATATGTATTGATTCTTCTGTGGAAAATAAAAATTGTATTTTACTTTTAAAAATTGTATTTTACTTTTCAGTTACTGGGCTGCGCTCAACCTGTCATTCCGCCGAATCTTTATTCGATGTTGTTATGTTAATGAACACAATAGCCTGGGGTCCCCAGGTAACTTTTCAGCTGTGTCTTCCAGTCTTTCAATCATAAGTTTTGTGCTGTTGCTACTCAGTTGGTCGATTGATTTAAACATCTTCGTTGTTCGTCGACGTCCGACGAGCAACGAGAAAAATTGCGTGGCGCGTCGGGTGGCACATCTTAATGGGTGATACGCGTATTATATATACATTATATAGTAAAACAAAATTTTAGTAAAACAAAATTTTTATTTACCACAAAACAATCAATACATATTTAATATTATTATACATTTACAAATAAATCTAAATTTAAATTCAGCTATATACACAATACACAGCCCGCCGCACAGACAGCCACACATTGCTGAGAGATTCTCAAGTGCAGATGTAAGCGCCGCGCGCGCGAGGTTTGTAATCTTACAATTACATGTCACGATATATATTATAAATTTCAATCGCTGACGTACAGCGAGCAGCACAGCTGCGAGTGGCGTCAGCTAGTAGGATTTCATCCTACAAGGCACATCGCGTTCACCTAGCTAACCAAGTGCTTTCGCGCCGCTGCGGACGCACTTGTTCCACAAGTCATCCGCCTCCGGCGGTCGCGCGCTACTGCAAGCGAGAGGGCTATAGTTAGAGCAACACATCGCACCACAAGCCAAATATTTATCAACATTTTGACTAGCTACGCGATCCTTTTCCGCATGCGCTCGCGCTTTGCTCAAGTTGCGCTTTGCTCAAGTTGCGCTCGCGTTAACTGCGTTAACGACCGAAATTTTCCCAATATGCAATAAATTTTTTGCTTCTAAAATTCTCTGATAATTAATAATATATCGTTACATGTAATTGTAAGATAAAAAACCTCGCGCGCGCGGCGCTTACATCTGCACCTGAGAATCTCTCAGCAATGTGTGGCTGTCTGCGCGGCGGGCTGAATTTAGATTAATATTTATTTATAAATGTATAATAATATTAAATATGTATTGGTTGTTTTGTGGTAAATAAAAATGTTGTTTTACTAAATTTTGTTTTACCTCTACATTTGAGCTTGTCTAATTTTTTGTCTCATTTGTCCAAAATTTTTGTCCCTTTTGTCTCTTTTGTCCCTTTTGTCCCTAGTATTGTCCATTTTGTCCATTTTGTCCACAAAACACTGTCCTTCACAAAAAAATGTAAAAAAAGACAAAGACAAAATGGACAAAATGGACAGTAATACCCCCCCCCCCCCCCCCCCCCCCCCCCCACAGTGACCGGAGTCTCCTTCTATAACCAGAGCGGGATGGTTGGCTCTGGTAATACAGCGTCATGAGCTGTATGTTGTCCTCCTTGCTCCACGTGTGACGAGTGGAAGTCTCAGTGCGAGCCTTCCTCTCACGGCGTGCTGGAGGGGCGATGTTAGGTTGTTGATCCTGCTCTGACCCATTAGTAGGGAGAGTAGGAGAGTTTGAAAAATTTGAGAGAGAATTCATATCATAACTGGGGGACTTGATATACCCCCTAGAGAGTTGGCAGGAAAAACAGAGCACTGAGCGTTGCCCCGCGTCGCCCAGCTCCCCAGGTAGCTACCTCCTGGGTAGTAGACCCGTTAGTAACCATTTAACCCATGGCCACACATCCTTTTGTCACGAGTCCACAACTTAAGATTGGGGGACATCTGCGGGTCAGTCCATGCCCGGAAAGAAAACCACTAGGTGTCAATTGCACCTAGTCAAGAAACCAAGAGCTAGAGCAGAAGGATAAAAGATTTTCACCAACGAGAGGCAAGAAAGGGAATTAACCGGGGGACAAGTAACATCAAATACAAGGATATATATAACATAATTTCAATTACAATGTAATTACTAATACAATGGGTATGGTAAATGGTATAAATAGTAATTATTTACTAAGGATGGAGAATCTTTCAGTACTGACAGTCTATGCTGCTATGATAACGAATAAATATATAATAAGGGGATAAATCTTAAAATACTGCTGTTTCAGTCACAGATACTTTTCTTGGTTTTTCCATATTGTGCTTTTTTTGGTCTTTTTTGTTTTTAACTTTTTTTTGTAATTTTCTTTCTTTTTTTTTGTTCCTTCCTAAACATGAATTTTAAGCAATTACAAAATCTCACGATAACATTAAATGATGTTGAGAAGGACAATAGAGCCTGAGGTTCTGGTGGTCTACAGGTGTTTCACCAGCTGTTTGGTCAAGTTCTAGCCCGTTACTTGGACTAGTAACGGGGGAACTAACAGTGTTAATAGTTTAAACTTTGTGCTATAACTGAACCTCAGGAAGAAGACATCTGGCAATGCCAGGGAGTGAGTAGCTCTAGCCGGCAGCCATCCAATGGACTGCTGCCGTTACCGACCCCGGGGGTGCTGACCACGAGTATCAGCCTCGGACCCACTACTCACTAGCTCTGGTGTTCTGAGCGGGGGCCTTATTATTATTATTATTAACAACCGCCAATAAAGTTATAGCCCTCCATCCACTGTTTCAAAAGTCTTCTCTAACACATATGAGACTTCAGGTAAAATATGATGATCACCACCCCCTTGGAACCCCATAATCTGAGTCGGCGGGTTTTTTTATGACTGGTAAAATTTTTGACCGGGAAAAATATGGCGGAATCTTCCAAAACCCACCACTTTATCCCGGTTATAATATTCCCGAGTAAGGCACATGAACTCCCTCTTGAAGAACTTGAAAAGTATACATTACAACTCAATGAATTAGCTGAAGAGTAAGTTATGGCTTTTCGATTCGTTTATTTTTGAATCATGTATCATAATAATATAATAAAACAAAAGTTACCACTTAAACTGACTATTACTAAAAATAAGATTGTACTGATCAGTTGAATAGGTCTAGCTATTAGAGTTGAGCTACTTCTATTCATTCATTTATATGACAGTATTGTTCCTCAGGATGTTAACTAGAGCAACAAATCGAAACAAAGAATAAGGGTCAACCTCTCAAAAAGAGGAAGCGTCAGAGATAAAAACCATTTCAACGGAATGTCAATACTCCCTAGTTGATAATACTTCATTCTTTTTAACCGTTACTAGTTAAAATGTAACTTGATCAGAGTTTTTATTCATTACTTAAAAGTTGTATTATTTAAATATCGTTTGTGTAATATTTTATTTCCAATCAATTCGTTGACTGATAAAAGTTTTTAAAACTGTTTCCTGTACAACTAAAGCTAATTGTATGGAATCCGAATAGTAATCTCTTAATGCGGGTTGTTTAATGTTACTTCAGGAACGACTGTGAAAATAGTTGAGAGAAGCTTTGCGCATTAATGCTAAAATGTGTGGATTTCGGTCGAGATATAAACTGTAAATTAAATTTATCCAGTCACTCAGTCAGACAGCCGAATTATTGGGAATATATTTTACCGTTTTATTGGTTTTTTACTTTCGGGGGTGCCCAACCTCATAGCTGGACAATGACCATATAATGTATATTGTTTGAAAGTTTTATTTTACTGAAGTCTGAAGAGATCATATTTCGTGGTAAATGAAAAAAATTAATTCGAGCTAATTTTTCTTGACCGGTGCAAATTCTAGCAATTATAACTCAATTAAAATAAACAATTTCTAGTATGTCAACATCAGGTACATTACATAAGTTTTTCAAGCAACCATCTCAAAGTACTGACAGGCAACCAGCACCTTCTGACTGTATCGTTATAGAGGATTTGCTACAAGAATCCAATGCAACACCATCTAGCTCTTCAAAAAGAAAAGGTGTTGTCAGTACTAGTGATGTTGGTAAGAGGAGAAAGCTCTCTTTGTCAACGCTTCGTGTGAAGCAAAATAACATAGCTGCTCTCCCTCCCATGGTTGTGATCCCTGAAGCTGAGCAGCAAACATCTACACAAGCTGATAGCTGCACCAAGAGCCTAACTCAATCTGTGAAGGATGTTTTGTCATACTCTAAATCTAAAGTTAAAGAAGTGTTGCCAAAGGATGATCTAGATAAAGTGGTTAATGGTTGCACCAAGAGCCCACCTCAATCTGTGAAGGATGTTTTGTCATACTCTAAATCTAAAGTTAAAGAAGTGTTGCCAAAGGACAACCCAGATAAAGCTGGTCCGTCAAACTCTAAATCTAAATCTGGTAAGAAAAACGTTGTAAAACTGTTGCCTAAGAACAAAGAAAAGAAAGTTTTTGGAAAAAATCATGTAAATAAGGTTGATTCAATTTTAGCATCGAAAGCAAAAGATTGTCTTAAATTGTCAACCAGTCCTGTAAAATTTACAGATTCGCCTATCAGAGCCAAGTGTAAGAGCAGGAACCATTTAGTTTTATCAGATTCTGATGAGGAAATGGATAATTTGACTAGTGCAGAACCAGAAAAATCTGGAAGGAGTAAATCTCCAGAACGTGATGCTAGTAGTTCAACTTCAGATGATGAAGAGGCTGATGTCGATTCTAGTTTTGGTCGAAGAAGTAAGATGATGTTAGAATCAGATTCTGATGAAGAAATTAAAATCTCATCAGCTGTTGAATCAGAACATAAAAGAAGTAAATCCCCCACATTACAAGCTTCAACTGAAGATGATCATGTATCTACTATGGATACCAGTGTAACTGGTCGCAGAAGTGGGAGAACAAGAAAGCCAGTTGAACGATTTACTATCGATTTATCTGAGGATGAAGGTAAGCTGTGCTGCTTTTTTAAACTCTCAATTTTCAGAATTATGATTAAATTTCGCTTACAACTCTTGTCGAATATGATAATCACATGATCTTTGAAATTTTCTATGGCATATTATAGTTTCAATAACCATATTTAGTTCGTTCCAACATATGAATTGATTCTTTAGGTTTTATAATCAACTCCATTGTAGATGATACAAAACGGAAGAGTTGTAAAAAGAAGACCCCCAGCAAAAAGAAAGGGAAAGAGAACACACCTCCTTTAGAAGATGAGCTTTTTATAATCGATGATAAACCCAAGCCTAGACGATCCGTATCAGCAGTTTTAGGTAACCACACGATTTGATTTGGCAAATTTTATTCCAATGTTTATAAGATGAAAATCAACTTTTTAACTTCAAGACTTTAGTTATGATATGACGTACTAGTTTATTAAACTATTGCACTAGGTGGTAAAGGAGCTGACAAGAAGAAGAAGGCAGCAGAACCTGCCCGAATGAGTAGTTCCAGTCTCATGCAGGAAGCTAAGAAACTGATGCTGGTGTCGTCCTCCAACAGGAGTTCTCCAATTCACATGTCTAGTAGTTCTCCTACTCCTGCTTCTGCAGCCAGGTTTATTTGTTGGTGTGGCTTTATAAATTCCTAAACTATAACAATAGAATTGTTGCTTTTTACTTGGCAAACTATTGTGTTTGTAATGGGATTAATATTAATCCCATCGGAAAGGATACATAAATACTCAATATTTTACAGTGCTCCAAAGTTATCAGATGAGGTCGTTTGGCCCAAAATATCACACTGTGGATTATCAAAAGAAATCATCATGTACCCTCTGTTAGAAGATGTAAGTGAATTTTACGATAAGTTCGAAATTGAATTTGTTGGTGAATTTGAGGGTAGTTTTTTAAAAACGTTACAGCAGAATCATCTCAGAATCATATTGTGAATAAATAGCCATCATAATATTATTTCAGGACCCAGAATATCTAGAGGACTTTGACCTTGATCTGGACGCCCTTAGAACAGGCTTCAGACACGAGATCCCTCAACCTCCAACTAACAAATCCCAGGTAATGTTGTTTTAACTTCAGTTCTTTTTATTCCTGCAACCTGAAATGCAACTTTTAATAAAATTCTAGTGATTATATCCATTTTGTCTAGAATACAAATGAATAATGATATTTTATCTCAGGTTTGTAGCAAGAGGTACGATGAGTGTGTTGATGAGCTGACCACTAACCATCCCAGTAGTAATGTAGAGAACATAGTTGAGCAATACACTAACTGTAAGAGAGCCCCCAGTCATCTCCTCTCGGAGGGGCCTAAAGAGGTTGGTGCATTAATTAGTTGAGTGTATCTTTGTCAAATGTCAAATTTAATTTATTAAAATATGCTATGCAATAATTATAATTTCCTCTTGATAAGTATTTAATATCGGCCCTAATTATTGAGGTAATCATAAAATTTGACGTTCACGTTCGTTCACTGTTTATTCATAAAAGGTCCCGGAGGTACTACGTCTGACTAACTTTTTAACCCCAAATAATGAACCATTTCACTTAGTTACAGCAGTGGGAGGATAGGACCTGGAATCAGATCTACTGCCCGGTGGACTACAAGAAGATTATCGGTAATAAGTCGGAAGTTAAGCAGCTTTACAAATGGTTGGACGGCTGGAGGGTTCGACTTCTTAATGAGAAAATTAGAAAAAAGAAGAAACACAAGTAAGTTATATGCCAGCTGCTGAATAACCACCATAATGTACGATATACATTATATGACCGTCTTAATAACTGCTTCCTTTATTTTATATGGTAGCGAAATTATCTATTTATCTTTTTGTAGACGCTTTGCAAAACATTTGAAACATAAAAGTTAGAACTTAGAAGAATATTAGAAGAATATTTATTTTCAGTTCGTACTCGGATTCCGACTCTGACTCAGAGTACGTTGATACAGACGGAGAAGAAGTGCGGTGGTTAGATAATGTAGTTCTTATCACCGGGCCCTCGGGGGTCGGCAAATCTGGGGCTATAGCTACTTGTGCTAATCAGCTAGGATACAAGGTAATATATAGCTACTTGTGCTAATCAACTAGGATACAAGGTAATGTATAGCTACTTGTGCTAATCAGCTAGGATACAAGGTAATATATAGCTACTTGTGCTAATCAGCTAGGATACAAGGTAATATATAGCTACTTGTGCTAATCAGCTAGGATACAAGGTAATATATAGCTACTTGTGCTAATCAGCTAGGATACAAGGTAATATATAGCTACTTGTGCTAATCAGCTAGGATACAAGGTAATATATAGCTACTTGTGCTAATCAGCTAGGATACAAGGTAATATATAGCTACTTGTGCTAATCAGCTAGGATACAAGGTAATATATAGCTACTTGTGCTAATCAGCTAGGATACAAGGTAATATATAGCTACTTGTGCTAATCAGCTAGGATACAAGGTAATATATAGCTACTTGTGCTAATCAGCTAGGATACAAGGTAATATATAGCTACTTGTGCTAATCAGCTAGGATACAAGGTAATATATAGCTACTTGTGCTAATCAGCTAGGATACAAGGTAATATATATATCATTATTATCTTACGGTATCGCGGTAGTTCTGCACTTGGTACCCGTAGAACTCTAGATCATTGTTATCTTACGGAATGCAACTCACTCCTTATGATATGAGATATCGCTCACAATCAGTAATCACGTACTCATATCTTGCCTTAATAATCATGTACGCGTCAATTATGAAGTTAGAACTGTAAACTAGACAATGCTATGCTGCTGACTTAGCCTGTCTAAAAATAAGTAAACGAATAATATGCAAAAAATTATAAATAATAACGCAAAAAAATGAATAAAATGTTTTATAAATAATGAAATACCGCTAATGTTAAAAGTGTGACTTCTATTTGCTTGAACTAATTAATTGCAATATAGTGAAATGTACTGGTTCCCACGTACCGGGCTCTGGTAAAATTCCTTATACGGGTAAAATATGTATCGTTACAAAGCTGGTATGTTTGGTTATCTCTCTTACGGAATGGACCACAGTTATTATAATCATACGATAATAATACGATGTCCGTTGTAAACATGGAAAATTTACCGAGAACGGCTTCTCTAATTTGAGGAATTTGATTTATTTATTTCCTAGTATGTTTAACCAAATAGTCGGGAAAAGGCTCTAGAGTATTTTGAAGTTTGAAAACTTGAAAACCCCCAAACTAGGAGTTCGTTTGTAGTTAGATGCTTTGAAGCGAGCGGGGTTCAAAATGACTGCGAATGATGGTTTCGAAGTGATCGTCAGGGCTCAAGATATTTGAATTTTTGGACATTATTTATCACAGAATTGCTGTTTTATGCACGATTTTATTTTTTGATTGTATGCCGTGGATGGATGGATGATGGCCGTTACTAGCTTTAAAACAAGTCAAATTCGTGGACAAAAACATGATTTGCTGCTCCAAAAATGTAGCGCAGATAATTCAGTTAAGAATATCCCAGAAACCTTTAAATAAATCAAATTAACGGCGAGAAGATTTGCCTTAATTTGTACCATAAAGTTATAAATCCCATACTATTGTAAAACCCAATCAGTCAAGACAGGCCCCATTGACCACCCTGACTACTAATTCGATACACTGTGACTATTCTGTGACACTCCCAACTACTGCAGGTCAAGGAGCTAAATGCGAGCTCGGAACGTACCGGGAAGAACGTAGCGGAGCTGTTCTCCGAGGCTTCACAGTCGCACTGCGTGACGGGAAAATCAGGGGCTGCAGACTTCACCAAACTTGTAGCGGACATATCTGCCAAAAACGCAGCCAAGTAATAATGATTTACGATACTCCAATTTGCAGGTCTGCGTTTATAGACTTGGCTCTGGGCCAGCTGGGCGAATTTCGCTTTCTAAAACTGGGTTTTTTAATTGTTTGTCAATTGCAGGCGGAAGAAAAGAAAGAGTGCTGGAGGACTGGAGAACTTTTACAGCAAGCCGAAGAAAACCGACAAGAATTCTTCTGAAATCATTAATGTGGACAAGCCTTCGAAGGTTCGGAAAAAGAAGAAGTCAGAAGAGGGGAAAGAGAGAAAGAAGAAGAATCAAGAAGGAAAAGGGAAGCTGAAGTTAGCGAAACAAAGTGAGAGCAATAGTGTGGCCGCTGTGCAGGAGGCTGGATCTAAAGTGGAAAAGTTGTCGTTGATTGCGTTGGAAGAGGTTTGTTTAACTTTTTGTTTCTTTTCTTTTCGTTAATTTTCTTTAATTAAAAATGCGATTTTTATATAATTCTTAAAAGAATATTCATAAAATCTACATCACAATTCACTATAAAATTTACACAATTTAAGTAATTCATGCTTTAAATTGGTTGAGGGTACGATAGCCTGTACTGCGAATACCAAAAGATCGAATTCTGCTACTCTCTTAAACGTTTATTTCTTATATCAGATGATGGCTAAGTTTAATATTTCCAGTGTTGATAGTAGATAACACCACGGTTAAGATAGCTAATTTACTTTCAAGATTAATGTTTCAAACTATCAAAATCTAATTCCAGTTCATATCTCCACAATGTTCATCATGTTCATTGTTCATCATGTTCCTCAACAGACCTCCAGAAAGAGTAACCACGGTCCTGGTTGATGGAGAACGCTTTGTTCTGATACCTTGTATCCTCCATGTACTCCTCCACAACTCCATCACAGTCACCGTAGTTCCAGTATCCCTGGTTATCTTCATCCATGTTAATGTAAGGGTTTCGGGCGTGTACCTCCCAGTCTACCTTCCATTTAACCTGCATGTCGAACCTTGGGATGAATACCACGAATCCGAAATGCCTCTTAGTTGGCTGGCATCCATCTTCGTCGCTACAGTAACGACGTGTGCTCTCTACTTCGGTCGGGCGGGAGAGACGTTTAGGGATCTGATGGACGTTGGGGTCTTTGATCCTGTAGAACTGAAGTTTGGTAACGGTGGCATTCCATTGTTCAAAATCATGGTGTCTTGGTGCAAAATCTGGAGGGAAAACAAGGTCGTCTTTGAAGCAGTTGGTAATGTCCACGTTGATGTACCGATAGTAGGGATATCTGGGGTCGAGTGTGGTCATGCCACTGACGGAGCCTTTGCAGGAGACTTTACAGTTGGCATCCCCGCTGAACATTTGGTACATCCCATCCACCTCAACATCGTTATCCTCTGTCAGCATAGTGTTCCTGGGCAGAGGAAGTTCATTTTCTCCTGAGTCGTCTTCTTCCTTTTCTCTTGAGTTGTCCTGTTCCTTTTCTCTTGAGTCGTCACTTGAGTCGTCTCTTGAGTCGTCTTCCATGTTTTGGGGTCCTTCTTCATCATCGTGGTCGTCCTGGTCGTCCTGGCGGCTACTGACATCTTTGTTCTTGTTATTCTTGTTGTTTTTTCCTCCTTTTTTATTTTTCTGCGCGTCCAGCAGAGTGACCAGGAGAAGGAGAACGAGTATTACTTGCCAGGCTCGCATGGTGCAACAAAACTAAATCAGAGAAATGAGAAATAAATATTCTGGACGGAGTTATTACGGTAACCAGATTTCTGTAATTAGGTATGTGATTTCTTTGTGTACGTTGATGGCTATATGGAATTATTTCGAGCTTTGTCGGACTTTAGGTCTGGCGGATAATGCGATCATAATTCAGAAAAATTCAATTTGGGGAACTGTATTTCATACTACTGTTTGCTATAAGTCGGTTAGGCGATACGATTAGACAAGCTCCATAGTATTTTCCTAAATCTTCAGGTCAGGGCAGAGGTGTCTGCGGTTAGGAAGCAATTTGCAATTTCAACTCATTTCTGGACGCTTTTTATGATGAAATAGTATAGATTTGGGTGAAGGTCATAAAATGACACTTGCTTAATATACGGCATATTTGCATAATGCATAAATAATTCATGTCCAATTTTAAACGAACATAAACAATCCATCGGTGAAGTTTCTCCATGTTCCTGACTTATGACTAGTGAGAGAATTCTGGGAAATATCTAAGATTTCCCTGAAGTACAGTAGGCGTCGCTTGCATCTGAGATAGTTGCTTCAAAGTCCAAATTGTGTGAATAGATTAGGCTAATGCTAGAATTTGATTAACTAATTGTTGTCTCCGTACGAATGTGTCACAGGTACTTGCTGAGCTTACAGCATCAGTTCCAGACGAAGGGCTATCTTGGGGAATATTCGTTCATGGACCGAATTTCAAAGTTCATTTATAGAGATTTGACGAACGACCAATATAAATATAATACCAATGAAGAATGGAGATGTATTGTCTATTGTTCATTGTTGCATGAAAGCACTGTGAAGTGTCCTAATGATAACAGCATAGTATTATTTGTGCATTTATAAAGAGAAAAGTTTGGACGTTTTCATCTTAACGTGTGAGCTAAATCGACTTTTTTTTTCTGGGAAAATAGCTGATTACTGACTAGGGGCTGCATCGTTGCTTTAATCAAAAAATATAATCACGATTTCGTGCAGAGTTAAATTCTGCAAGATTATAAATGTTCGGAATTACAAAAATGTTGTAGATCAAAGGCTATTCAGACCGGTCTCCTTTTTTGCAAAGAGGTCTCATTAAATTGTTGAAATTAGGACATGTCGTGATTCCAAAAACGAGCTCATGCACACTTCCATTAGATCCAGAGTCCCAGACTTCATCATTATCCACCAGCCCGACACAGCTCCTTGGAATTCCACCGAAACATATTTGATATTTCGGTGAAAGCAGGCTTGGGATTAGGGTAGTATCCGGACTTCGATAGTAAACGTTTTTTAGAAAGGCTGGTACCAGGTACATCCATCTGTATTGGTTAGAGGGTATAATTAATGAGTTTTTTTTCCACAAAATCTCAGGAGAATTAGTGTTTTCAATAAGCACTACAATGCCATTACAATCTTTATTAACGGATTTTTATTTTGACTGCTTTTACCACAAAGGAATTCCATCACATACGTGAATTTGTCCGAGCAACATACTTGATTTTGATTACTGTTGGTTGGTTTGGGCGTTTGGCAGACTGCAAGAAGATGCAGTCCAGAGGATTGCTTCTGGACAGCAGTATCACGTACATCCTCCTAACATCTAGATTATTTGAAGATTCCGAGGATAGTTGTTAGTGGATGCGGTATATCCTTTGTTCATTCCTTATGTAATGTACTAAGAACCTCCACATGTTTTACTGGCCTGTGATTCATGCGGAATTTTCGACCAATCTTTAATACCCGATATGATAGAGCCTTGAGGTTAATTCTAAATTTAGAATTAACTTCATGGGAGAGAGGGAAGTAGTACGGGTCCCCATCAGATCACATAGTTTCTCTGCTCACAGAATTAGTTCCCAAGTAAGGGGTCATTAAGGGAAATATCAATTAACGACTCGTTAGTTTAACGAGCCTGGCAAGCTGACATCAGGGACTTCAAGGGATCACGTGATATCAAACTAAAAATGCGGAAATTTTCCCCAACATTTTTCACAAAACAGAAATAAATTTGAGCGTTCCTTTTGCCTCGCATTCTAGAGACAACGTGACCAGTAAAATAAAAAACCTTGTACCATCTTGAACAGTGTTGCAGGCATCAAGGCATGCTTAAAATCAAAATATTCAAATATGCTCTGAAATTCTATTATCTTCAAACTGATATTCATCATCGGCGAAAATCCATTATCAACAATCCAAGCCGGTATTGCAGTAATTTTAATTGGGCACGACGTATATCACATGTATCTTTGTATAATTTATATTGGATGTATATTGTATAATGTATATATTGACATTTGACTAGAGGAAGTTTGTCAAGGGTAATATTTTTACGGTCATAGAACAGACAATGCTGGACGCTGGTCGGTCGGGCGCCGGTCGGCGGTAGGTGAACGCCGGTCGGAGGTCGGTCGACCGACCGACCAGCCTTGTCTGTTCTATGACCGTTTTTACTCCTCATTCTACTACATGATTGATGCTGCACTTACGACAAATTTTGTAGATATTCCAATGTTTTACCTGTAGATATGGTAATTTTCATCCGTCGCCAAAATTCACTTTCATCGGGTTAACACCGACTCTACTTCAGACTCTGAAAAAATTTGTAGCAGTTTAAAATATTCGTTGTTATGCTTATTTTTCAATCAAAATAAATGTGAGAGATAACAACTCTACCGTACAATTGCCCCGTCGCATTTAAACTGAAAACGACATATTCTGAAAGATTTGTTAGGCATTTTTTGGCGTTTTATTGTCTTCAAATCAAATCAAATCAAAATATAATGACACAAACATCATCACACGACACACATCATCAAAAATATATCAATTAAAGTTTACAAATTATCTTAAATCTATTGGCCTAAACAACCAAGTTAAAATGAATCTAATTTACATACTTTCCACTATTATATAAGTTGATAAAGCGTTTTTTAGCAACATGAGGATTACACACAAGATATTTATTGTGCTTCTCTTTATTAGTAGCATAATTAAATCCCTCAATCTTTCCTAATACTTCGTCCGAAACATACCAAAAATGACTATCATTTACAGATCCGTTTAAAATAGTCTCTTTTTTGAAAGCCTCTAATCTTATTTTAAAACTTAACACAGTCCCACAATTCAGTAGTGTCAATTTCGTAAAAATTATATACTTTTGGTTTTTTTCTTTTTATATGTTGAAAGGCCTAAAGATCTTTACCCCGCAAAGTTTCTTTCCCTTCTTGATCAGCTTGGTTTCATCCAATGTGTACCACTAGAAAGAACTCACAATCAAGGAGGAACTCTTGACCTCGTGATAACGACCAAAGTCTTTAAAGACTCTATAACTTCTATTAACATTGTGGAATCTGGGACTAGATCAGATCATTTTCTTGTTAAATTTGTAGTGTCTGTGAGCCTGAAGACCTCTTTGAATGATACTAGGGTGATGAAATACCGTGATTTTAAAAGTATTGTGGTTGAGGATTTTAAAGCAGATATTTTGGTTTCTGATCTCTGTAAAAGAGATGCTTGGTGCTCTGAGAGTCTTGATGAGTCAGTTAAGATGTACAATAGTATTCTATTGGAACTTATGGACAAGCACTGTCCTGTGATCAGTAAGGAGATGAAGAGTGAAGACAAAGGTAAACCTTGGATGGATCAGGATCTGAAAGCTTTACAGAGGCAGAGGAGAGCAGCTGAGAGAGCCTGGAGGAAAGGCAAGGGACAGAAG